CAACCCCCCGCGCACGCTGCCACCGCCGCCACAGCGCGCACGCCCGCAGCCGCCACGGCGCATGTTGTGGCCGCCATTTTGAAAACCAAAATGGCAGTCGCAACTCGTTTGCGCATGTGCAGTACTCCTGTGCATGCGCAAACGCGTCGCGGCTGCCATTTTGAAAATCAGAATGGCGGCCGCGGTACGCGCAGCCGCACAAAGCAGAAAACGCACCGTGGCGGCAGTGGCAGCGGCAGGGATCGGCCTGGGCCGGTAAGTCCGGCAACCTGGGCCTTAACCGGCCCGGGGCCCATAGGCTGCCGGTCCCTGCCTTAGTCGATGATAGCTGATGCTGCCAACTTTCTTTCAGTTATTCTCAAAGGTGCTACAAGATTTCTCCTAAATATGTGGACAGGATTGTAGCCCTAAACTGTGGATAAGGCCAGAACACTCTTGGTGGCTTAGGCTAGCATAAGCAGGGTCTATGCCAGCAAGAAGACATCTGGCAGCTTTACACAGGCTGCTCAATGGCAGCTGGAGAGCACATGGCAATCTACTGACTAATCTCCACTCTTCAGATCCACATGGTAATCTACTGACCACAGAGGCCTGCCAGGACAGCTCCTTTCTGCCATCGCCTAAAGTGTACTTATGAAAACAGCCAGTTAACTTTGTGGAATCCAGTCTTGTCCAAATTAAGCAGCAGGCTTGAAGCAAACAGGTTTAAGTCAAGGATGGACTAGCAAGTGAATGATCAGACTTGGTAATGCCAGGGAGCAAAATAGCAGCTGAGGTACAGAACAAGGAAACTTCTCTAGGATCAGGTCAACCAATAGAAATCAGTGCCGAGATGATAAATCCTAGAAATTATTGCTTTGGCTTCTTTGGCTGCATCCGCACCTCAGTAATAAAGCAGTTGGCACAATGCTAAAGAATCCTGGAAGTTGTAGTTTTGTGAGACATATAGCCTTCCCTGTCTGAGCGCTGTGGTGCCACAAGAAACTACAATTCCCAAAACTCTATAGCATTGAGCCATGGCAGTTAAAGTGGTCTCAAACTGGATTATTTCAGCAGTGTGTTTTGGACCATAGTCAATGGCTAGGGAACCTATAGGGCTAACTCCTGGAGGGCAACAGGTTGCAGATGAAGCCCTATACCACACTCTAACCTTAAACCTGTAATCTCCTGGGGGAAAGCTCCACTAGATGTGGCAGCACCTGCTTCAGATATATACAACATCTAAAGGGCCCAATGAAACTTCACATACCCAGCAGTCTAAGTAGCTAACCCTAACTGACCTAACTGGCCAATTTCCCAAAAACCCTTTCTCTCCACCACCACTCCCTTATTTGACAACCTTCCACGTGGCCTTAAAAGCACCCCAAGAAGAAGAAGGCCACTTATTTCAATTTCTCTTCCTTGACTGCTGTATGATATATGAGCTATATTGGCACATGAAATTCATGCCTGCTAGAAATCTTCTTTATTTGGGCATTGCTAGAAGCTTGCCAACGCTTCTACTTTCTCCCAAGGGGGCTTCTCCTTTCAAAACACCTCTTGCCTCTTCCAACAACGTCCACCTTTTCTTGAACCTCTAGGAGAGCCTTGGGCTGCCATTTCGTTGAATTTCACTGCACTACAATTAAATTAAATTACATTTTAATTGAAACCGAGGTCAGGCAGCATATGCCAGTGCCTCCCAGAGAGAAAAGAGAGTAAAGCAAAGGAGAATGAGAGCCTCCTTTCCCTGACTTGAGGTGAGCTCTTTAGGGAAGCCTCTCTATGGAGGGAAGTACTAAAACAAATGACAGCACTTGCCCATAGAGAATTATTGGAGAATACTTGCCCACAGAAACACATAAGGGAATATTTGACCACAGGGAAACGTTACTCGTCCTTAGGGAAACACTAGGAATTGCTTGCCCACAGGGAAACATTGGGAATTACTTGCCCAAAGGGAAACACTGGGGAATACTTCCCCACAGGGAAATATAGAATAACACTTGTCCATAGGAAAACGTAAAATACTTGCTCTATGTTTCCCAATGGGCAAGTGTTCTCCTATGTATCTCCATGGGCAACTATTTCCCCAGTGCTTCCCTTTGGGCAAGTACTGTCATACGTTTTAGGTCGTGGAAGGAAGGGAGCCGCCATTTGGAGCTCCGCCGAGGCTGCCCTTGCCTTACCGCCTCTTGGGGAAGACTCTGGCGTGGGTCCCCGTCGAGGGCGCTGTGCCAGCCCGGCCCCGGCACTGGTTGGCGGAGAGGCGCGCCTCCGGAGGGCCCTGCAGCAGGTGGCCCGAGAGGATCCGCAGCCGCCGCTGAGCCGCAGCCGCCACCTGGAAACCGCCGCTTCCGTCGCCTCTTCCCTCCGCCGCTGCCGCCATGGCACTTCCGCGTTGCGCCGTCAAGTGACGTCGGGTGAAAGGTTGCACGCGCAGGGGGGCCGGCGGCAGTTATAGGCTGTCCCGTCGTGCACTGCGCGGGTGTGCCTCTGTCTCCTAGCCCTCCCCAGCTCCCACCTCCGTGCACGTCCCCCACGCATGCGCACGCCCCCGCTGAGGGTAAGGCATCTAGTCACTAGCCTCGGTCGGCTGAGGTTCTGTTCGAGCCTTAAGCGAGGGACACTTAAACACGACGTTATACAAGCATTACATTCCCTAAGCAAGTGGTTTGGGTGTTGGACTACGACTCTGGAGACCAGGGTTTGATTCCCAGCTCTGTCATGAAAGCTACTGGGCGACCTTGGGCAAGCCACACTCTCTCAGCCTCCTCAGGGGAAGGCAGTGGCAAACCACCTCTGAACAAATCTGGCCAAGAAAACACTAAAAAAGAGTCGCCATGAGTCGGAAATAACTGGAAGGCACACAACAAGAAGAATACACTTAGGGGGGTTGCAGACTGCCAGAAATAGTGCAAATTGAGTC